AAGGTAGTGTCCGGTGAAAACATTCGAAACGCAGGCAGCGATACGCATAGCTTCCAATGCAATCAGAATGTTCTCGGCATTCTTCAAACAAGACAAAATTATGAGGACATAACGGAAATATTTACAGTCCGAGCAGAAAAAACTTTCATTTCCAACAAGTAGTTTTCAATATCAATTAATAAGAAATAGCAAATAAGTTGTCCTTCTTTTGTGATGATTAAGCCGCAGCCAGCGACCGAGTGGTAGACAGATGGACAACGGCTAACAGAGAATCTTGACTTTTTTGAAAAGTTAGTAGTGCGAAATTCTTGTATTTTGTTTGCATTTCAGCGAATATAGACAACACTTCAGGGCTGATGGGGGTTGTTTGTTAGGCACTGCGATTTGACAGTGGATAAATACAAGCTGAGAGCTTTCAGCTTCGCTTGAGCATCAGCAGTTTGATCCCTCAGCTTTGCCTAAGCATCAATAATTTGATCCTTCTGTTTTAATTCAGCATCAACTTCATAAGTAAGAAAGCTTTAAGCAAGCGAGAAACTCGTTATCAGCAAAGGATTTTCCCATTTATAAAGCCGATGCTTGGGTAAATCTTCCGTATTTATGAACTTGATGCTCAGGTAAAGCTCAGGGATCAAATTGCTGATGCTTAATTAAAGCTGAGAGAGCAAACTACTGAAGCTTAGGTGAAGCTGAGAGCTCGCAGCTTTACCTAAGCATTTGTTTTGCCTTATTGGCTTTCAGCTTTTTTTACCTATGCATCAGCTTTATGAGCGGTGATGTCCCCTATTTATGCGGGTTTTTCGCTTGCTTTTTTGCTTTCACTTTATTGTTTGTACTTTTTTTTTTCTTTTAGTTCCTTTCTTGCTGGTGCTTTTTTCTTATTTCCCTTCTCTCAAGAAAACACCCTTTTTCCTCTCCCTTAAGTGGCCTAGAAAACTGCCAAAAGATCTACATCACGTAGCTATTCAGTGCATTCACCCAACCCGTCCCCTCTGCCTCGAGGCTTTCCGCGCGAAACCCGCCATACCACCCCCCTTGCCTACCAAAACCCGCCCTGCGTCTCGAATCCAACACCCAAAAGTGTGATCTTGCATAGCCGATTCTCTTCCCCTCCACCCTCCCTCCTTTTTATGCTCTCTGCAGTACATCTTCCTTTCTTTCTCCTTCTATGCTCTCTGCAGTATATCCCCCTCCCGAGCACTTTCCATACTCCGCTCATCCGTCACAAAACCAGCACACTGATCCTCCTTCCTTCCACTCATCACGCCCTCTTTTCCTCTACACTGCGTGGCCACTCCACGTTCCCACTCAACTCACCCAACCACCCCTTCCCCAGTGCCTTTGACTTCTCGGTCACCAATCTCACACGGTGGCCCTCCCCCACCTGTCCCTCCACCCTCTTCCTCTGCTTCCCCCATCCCCCTCCTTCCCATCCATTCCCACTGTTCCCTCCCTTCCCCGTCCTCCCTGCCCCCAGCCCCACCTTTCCTCCCGCCCCCTTTTCTTCCCTTCCTGTGCTTCTCCCTCCCACCCGTTCCTCCCCTCCTCCCCGCCCCCTCTCCTTCCCTACTGCTCCCCCACTACACATTTGCCAATAAATCGGCAAATCTTGCAGCTGTCGAGACTGCTTGAGGTGAGCCGAGGCGAACCGAGGCAAGCCCAAGCTAGCCGAGCCGAGCTGTACTTTAGTAATTCCATATAGGTACTTATAAGCCGTGTGGCCCGGTCACGGAATCCCTCTGGAAGAGTGCATATTCGCGCATAACATGTCGTTGCGATATAATGATTCCTTCTTGCACCGCTTGGCCCATATCACTATCTGGATACGCTCCGTTATTTACGTTGGATGGGTAGTCTAAGGTTTTATTTTATACACTGAAAATGCATCTGCCCTATTGGCATGAAATTTCGAGGTCTAAAAAACAAGCCCTTTGTCTAGAGTACGTGGTTTTGAGTTGCAAGCTGGGTCTGTAGATATTACTGGCGATTTCAGCAAAGTTGGCGCAGATATCAATGAAGATGTCATTTATACACCAAAAGAAATGGAAATGAAACCCCGGATTCTTACGAAGGAAGCGATATTCCATTACTGACAATGTAAAATCGGCAATATCCGGGCTAGTATTACCACCCATTGGTAGACCTTGTATTTGCTTGAATGCGTAGCCACTAAATCGTACGTATGTCTCCTCAAGAATGAAACGAAGCGTGGCCTTAATATCATCCTTAGTGTAGAATATAACGTCACTTGTGAATTACTAAC